GCTCCACTTGCCCGGTTCGAACAAATCCAACGTCCCATCTTCCGTCAAGAATACCTTGTATCGTATCTTCGTTGTTACCTGAAGGGTGATGGTATGGGTTTTGATTTCTTTAGCGTTGGTATTTGGAATTAGAGTTTGCATATTGCATCATCTCTTCTTACCTGTGAATATGACCTGTTTGGCATCAATCAGGGGATTGATTCCTTCTTTTTGCATCATGTAGAACTGTGCCTGTGCTCCGGCAAAGTCAGAAAAGGCTTGCGCCCCAATCACTTTGCCCTTCAGATCTTCAATACTGCCGATGTCATCGTTGTCAGCCAGGACCATCATTGTACCCGCGAAGATATCGAGCTCGTAGTTCCGTCCTCGAGACTCCAACCTGGCAACAGTGGTCGCAATCGGTTTCGCCCCAATCTCGATACCAATACATGAGTAGATGCCGGTGTCCGTGTACATGAAATCGACGTCTTCTCTATTGTCAAGCCAGTCTCGAATGGAATCGTCCGTGATCTTCATCTTGAACTCGATTGGAGGATCCCACCTCTTTCCAACAGCCTCATTCAAGTATTCTTCAAAAGTAAGGTTGAACTCTCGTTTGGCAGTTTCAATACCCGCAGAGGCATGAACACCGACATGGTATATTTTCTTTTGTGTAATCGGGTTGTACTGACGAAAGCCTCGCACACAATTGAGTTCTCCTTCTGGCCACAACTCGCTAATATTTTCGTTCTGTGATGACACGAAGAGAATGTGTGATACAAGAAGGAGGAGTACGCGTTGTAACTTCGTCACGGTTGTAATCTGGTTCATGTTTGAAAAGATGAGAAACCAACAAAAACGTTTTGTCAAGGAGTCTTTACGGTTCTGTTTGTGACGATCGATTGAAGGAGGAAAATATCTGACGGTTCCACACTGTGTTTTTTTCTACCGGTAAATGAACGCGCGAGGAATTGCGAAGACTGTTCGCTTTCCGTCAATAAGGAAAGCGTGACAACGAATATATAAGCGCTGTCTATCAAAAAAGGATGACGTTTTTAAAAGAGCCCAAGAGCAAATCTCGACGAACAGACATTTATTTGTGTTGATTCTGTCTACCGAATGGCCGGCCCAGTCAGTCTACCGACTGGGCCATTCTCATGCAATTCTCCAAGCCAGCATGTTCCATTTTTATGTTCTCCAGAATCTTCATCTTGAGTGGTTTCGTTATTTAGAGTAGCATGGAGAGAAGCAAACTTGGGCTCTATTGACCAGAAGGAAGACTCACTCACATTGGCCTACAACGTTCCCTTCCCAGAAGCAGCTCAGAATCCGTTTTTACCATCGCCATTGCAGATGTCTCAAGTGCTGATCCTTCTGAGGTCCTTCTGAGGTTGATATGGCCTCTTCAGTTGCCTCATCCAACACACTTTGTGACACACTTGCTGATGAATTTGAAATCAAGCACTGAAAAGTGCTGAAAGTGAATGGAACCACATGGTAGAATTGCGGCTGTCCAACTGGGATATAGACAAAGTAGGCAACCTAACCCAACATCGGTCCCAGAAGAAGCACAGCGACCTACAATGACAATTTCTCTGTAGAAGCTAATGAAGATGGAAACTACAGACTTTTCGGCAAGGCTGATATATGACTATCTAAGATAGCCTACTGCCGTCCTCCGTGTGTGTGTTCGTAGTATTTTGTCTTGGTGTGTAGCTGGTGGGTTGTGGTGTGAAGCGGGTCGAACTGATCGAGTAATAGACTCGAAAAATTGAATTACCACGACACAAGTGGGTGAATTCAATCTCAGTCGATAAACTGGGCATCATTGCCTCAGCGCATCGACAACAACTTTTGACGGTCGAAGGCCGTTCGGCCTTTGTCCGTCAGTAACACAATGTAGTCAAAGAAATCGAACAGTGTGGTCTACGTTGGACATTTCTGAAGATTTTATATAAAACAGCCGCGCCAGTCGGGCAGCATTCGGCAAATGGGACACCAGGATAAATAATCCGGCCATTCGGCAGACTATCACTCTCTAGCCATCGTCTATGGTTCGTCCGTTACGTCTGTCTGTCGCACGTGAACGAGCGAAGGACTGAATCACATCTCCGTTGCTGTCTCTTCATATACCGGTAGGTAGACTGTTTCTGTTGGGCCACTCCAGACAGGAATAGCATGCTTCGGCGCCTTTAGACTGAATGCTTTCGCGCTCACTGAGGATTCGATTTGAATTTGAATACGAATAGAGCGCCCAAAAAAGCATCGAAAATGACACGACAGCCAACATGATGGCAAAATGTATTGAAACC